TTCTTTTGTGGAAATCTTGGCTGAAGGGTTTGAGATGCGCTGCCTGGTGTTAATAATTATCCCATTTGCAAACCTGTCCCCCTTTCCCCCTCCTTCCCCGCTGCCGTATATGATCCCAAATGCCACTTTTAGAAACCTTCGCCGCAATAATGGATTGCTGCGTCAGCTTGCTTGGCACTCTGGCCTTAATGCCCCCCAATCGCCTCTGCAAATATAATCTCGTAGGGGTAATAAATATAGTGTTTCCTGCCCCAGCGCAGCACTCTAAAGTCTGGGAGGCAGAGCTTGCGATTCTGTTCCCCCTGTAACTAAAATCTAAGCGAAGGCCATTCGAAAATCCGGTATGGGGGAGCAGTTGATCAGGAAACAATGGGGTTTCTTCATAGCAGATCTCATTAGGCTGATTAAATAGTTGGGTAAGCGAAGCGTGAAAAATGAAACATGACTGTTGTGGCGGCTTGGGAGCACTGAGCTTTTCAGCCACGGATGTTGCCCTAACAGCAATTTCTCACATTCAGTAGTGGCATTCTCGTTAGTCCTCCGGGATTTGAACCCCATGTGCACTCATGGGTTAGTTAGGCTTTGCGAACTGGGCTACCGAATGTGGCAACAGGGCTGGAGATGGCATCGTTTCATCTCATTTCTCCTTTCGCCATTGCTAGTCAATGAAGTTAACACGGGGAGCTTGCCTTTTAACATTGTACAGTGGTACCTTGGGTTACATACACTTCAGGTTACAGACGCTTCAGGTTACAGACTCCGCTAACCCAGAAATAGTACCTCAGGTTGAGAACTTTACTTCAGGATGAGAACAGAAATCGTGCTCCAGCAGCTCAACGGCAGCAGGAGGCCCCATTAGCTAAAGTGGTGCTTCAGGTTAAGAACAGTTTCAGGTTAAGTACAGACCTCCAGAACGAATTAAGTACTTAACCTGAGGTACCACTGTACAGTGGTACCACGGGTTACATACGCTTCAGGTTACATGCGCTTCAGGTTACAGACTGCTAACCCAACAATATTACCTCAGGTTAAGAACTTTGCTTCAGGTTGAGAACAGAAATTGTGCGGCGGCGGCGGAGCGGCAGCAGGAGGCCCCATTAGCTTCAGGTTAAGAACAGTTTCAGGTTAAGAACAGACCTCCAGAAGGAATTAAGTTCTTAACCTGAGGTACCACTGTACCTCGGGTACAGTGTACCTCGAGGTACCATTTATGAATTATGCTGTAATTCTGCCTGTGGTTTACAGCACGTTATATTACCTGAGGGTCACACCCACAGCATTCATTTAAAGCTCATTTAATACACGTTCAAAGCACATGGCTCCCCACTGCCAGAAGTTTGGGAACCATAGTTTGCTCACTCACTGAGCCGCAACTCCCAGACCCTTAACAAACTACAGTTCCCAGGCTTCTCTGGAGGAAGCCATAGACTTCAAATGTGTGCTAAACGTGCTTTGAATGTGTGGTGTTTATGCGGCCCGGGTCAAAGAGCTCATTCGTAAAGCTCACCATTGCTCTCTATTCTGAAAACCATCTAAAACAATCAAAATCATTTTGAGAGCATTTAAGACTGCTTTAAAATGTTTAAAAAGTTTGTTTTCCCCTTTCCTGCTGACTTTGTATCATGCCAAGGCGACCTTCTCTCAAAGTGCATCTCGAGTGCTCTGACTCCATTTTTTAAAAATAGAAATGGCTCGTCCTAGTGGGGTTTTGTTAAAAATAACAATTGTCTCCGTTAATTTGCATTGTTTTGGTGTCCTTAGGAAGCTACCCCATTAGTTGAGATATTAGTTGAGATATCTTAATAAACAAATAATAATAGGATGAAATAGTCGGAACTGCAACAAAAAGGTGCTGCACGTCTTGTTCTAGTCATTCAGCCATTCCTTCTCGAGGAAACTCCATTCTTCCACTCTCTCCCTTGATTTTGTCCTCCAAAATCAAGTGGTCCGTCTGCATTCTGCGGCCATTGAGCACGCTCAATTATCACTAAGTCATTTTTATTGACTCCCCTTCACCTTTTCACTAACTAAATATTTTTGGGGGGGGCATACTTCTGCAAACCTTGCGGCTCCCCCAAGCCTGCTGATATATCCCTGCTGTTCATTTTTATTCATTTAACGATATTTACAGTGGTACCTCGGGTTAAGTACTTAATTCGTTCTGGAGGTCCGTTCTTAACCTGAAACTGTTCTTAACCTGAAGCACCACTTTAGCTAATGGGGCCTCCTGCTGCTGCCGGAGTACGATTTCTGTTTTCATCCTGAAACAAAGTTCTTAACGTGAGGTATTATTTCTGGGTCAGCGGAGTCTGTAACCTGAAGCGTATGTAACCTGAGGTACCACTGTATATACTTTCCTTCATGCAAAACAAATCCAGGCAGTGTGAAGCAGATTGCCAAGAGCCTGATCCTGCCCAAAGCTTGACTCCTGTATCAGAAAAGACCTTCATGAGCAACAGCACGCGTAACCTGATCATCAGAGAAAGAGGGAAGGATACGACAAGCGTGACACAACATGAAGCATAAATCTGAACACAGCTCACCAGGCGCACATGATGGCACACCAGGAGGGTCTCAAAAACCCTTCTGGGTTTGGGGTGCCACCTTTGGGGCACTGTGATATATTTGGCAGGCCACAGAACATGGCAGGCAGGCGATGTTTGCCGTGGCGTGTCGCAAAATTGTTCAGGTCAGCTAGGACCGGCGCCACAGTTACCTGGCGTTCTTGACAAGTCCTGTGTGGAAAATGTCACATTTCAAAATACGCTCAAAAGGGCTTTATTCTGTTGCTCGAAGGACTTCCTCAGCTGCAAATGTTGCTTTGTCTTGTCAAAGAAGCGCACGAGTTTGACATGGCACCCCCCATCCCAAAATTGGGCACGTGCCAGTCGGAAGTGTGTATCCCATGGTGCTTTGCAGCAGAAGGTCCCTCACAGCCAGCAGCGTCTCTTGTGAAAGAGAAGCGGGAAACAATGCACAGAGGAGAGGTGAATGGTGTTCTGTGAGTTTGTCCCCCTGCCCCCACCAAGAACCAGAAACTCCTTCTGGCGTGGGCTGATGTCACAATACTCGTATACAAGCACAGAAGGGAGGCAGAAGGCAGCTGTGGGGAGAAGCGGAAGGAAAGCGGGAGAGAAAGATGGTGACTTTCCTGCTTTGGAAATTATTTTCTTTTTTCCAGAAGGAAGTGTGCGACATATAGAAAGGGTGTGTGTGTGTGTGTGCAACCAGGAGAATGCAATCCTTTTGGACGCACAGCTGTCCATGGAGGCGCGGGTTAATTCTGTTTCCAGGGCGACTGTCTACCAGCTCCATCTAGTACGCCGGCTGAGACCCAACCTGCCTGCGCACTGTCATGCCAGAGTGGTATATGCCCTGGTTATCTCCCGCTTGGATTACTGGAATGCACTCCAATCCAGAACACGGCAGCTAGGCTGGTGACTGGGAGTGGCTGCCAGGACCATATAACTAACACTGGTCCCAAATTTGGATCCCAGTACGTTTCCAAGCACAATTCAAAGTGTTGGTGCTAACCTTTAAAACCTCAGCCCAATATACCTGAAGGAGCATCTCCACCCTCATCATTCAATCCGGACACTGAGGTCCAGCTCCAAGGGCCTTCTGATGGTTCCCTCACTGCGAGAAGTGAGGTTACAGGGAACCAGGCAGAGGGCCTTCTCAGTGGTGGCGCCTGCCCTGTGGAACACCCTCCCTTCAGATGTCAACTATATGACTTTTGGAAGACATCTGAAGGTAGCTCTTTACAGTGGTACCTTGGGTTAAGAACATAATTCGTTCTGGAGGTCCGTTCTTAACCTGAAACTGTTCTTAACCTGAGGTACCACTTTAGCTAATGGGGCTTCCCGCTGCCACCACGCTGGCACTGCACAATTTCTGTTCTCATCCTGAAGCAAAGTTCTTAACCCGAGGTAATATTTCTGGGTTAGCGGACTCTGTAACCTGAAGCGCCTGTAACCAGAGGTACCACTGTACAGGGAAGTTTTTAAATGTTTGAGGTTTCACTGTGTTTTTCTATTTTGCTGGATGTCACCCAGAAAGGCAGGGGCAACCCAGTTAGATGGATGGCATATAAATAATAAAGCCATTATTAGTTGTTGTTATTATTATTATTAATGGACTTCAGCACTGCATGGTCTCAGCAAAACAGAAGGTGATGCAAGAGGAGGCAGCCATGCGGGTTCCTTTTCCTCTGGACAGGAGATCACCTGCTTGGCTGCCATCTTCCCAGATGCTGCAGAAGTCAGCCAGAGAGTGCTTTTAGAAAAAGACACATGAAAACAAAGCAAGACATCCAAAAGATACAAATAATTTGATTTTTTAAATTATCCATTTAACAAATGCTTTTCTAACTTTTTTCTGCACAAATCCACTAATACGCAGCTCTAAGCTGAGTGTGTGTGGCACATTTTGGGCTCTTGCAGATAAAAACATGCTGCAAAACTTGCCAAACATGTTGCAAAACTTGCCAAAACTTGCCCCATTAATAGATGCCTAAACTTTTGGCCCCTGTAAGCTTGGGGGCCTGACCCAAATGACCCTCCTGGATCAGCCCCACTGATTGGTCCCACCCGGACATATGCTTCGCAGATTTGAAAGGTGTTATATCAAAGCAGTGGCGTAGCGTGGGTTGTCAGCACCCGGGGCAAGGCAAGTAATTTGCGCCCCCTAACCCGTGGATTTGCGCCCCCTAACCTGTGGATTTGCCCTAACCCCAGATGTTGCGCCCGGTGCGGCCGGCCCCCCCTGCACCCCCCACGCTACGCCACTGTATCAAAGCTACGGTGATGTTGAGAATCCTTCACGATTTGCAATTAGCTTTCAGGCATGGGCCACCTCCCTGGTTTCATGCATGTAAAAATTTATTTTCTATCAATAATTTAATAAATTCTTTTGCTTTACAACGATACATTCAAGTGACATTTTTTCTTTTCTTTTGGTCCCCCTCCCCCTTTTTTGGCGGAAACAAGAGTCACAAGACATTTCAGGATCAGTATACTTTAATATGGTATCAGTGTCAAAATACATTTCCTTATCAAGTTAAAAGTTCCCATACAGTTACAAGATTATAAATAAGAAATTCAACAATAGAGAGAGCATGAAATAATTACGACAATAGTTACGGTTAATATTTTAAGCACAGATTTTCTTTCACCCCCTTCCCCTCCCTCCCTCCCTCCCCACCCGCACAGTGTGTTTTTAGTAAATGGTTAGGGTGCAACATCTTAATGCTGAAACTACAGAGATTAAAAATATAATAGCAATATTTAAGCGTGATTAACCCTTCAAGCACACGAATCATGACCACTTTAAAGAACTGCTTTGCTGCAGCCACAGGCTTCAGACCACTTACTCCAGAACTGCTACTGAATGTGAATGGGATTACTTTAAAGCAAACTGCTCAAGGTTGGCAGCTTGGTGGTGACGCTCTTAATTTATGCTTCTTCCTAGGGCTTAGCTACCATTTTTCTCCCCCTTATGACAGTTCAGGCCACCATCCAGCCAGTTAAACACAGCAAAGAGCCAATTCACACATCTCCCAGAAGCAAACTCCGATTTGCTACTGACTGTATTACACTCAACTGGAAGATGCAGCCAATGAGTGCGATTTGATGATAAATGTGTCAGCTATATTCACAGGTGCTTAATACTGGCTGAATCATGTCCTTTTGAAAACCAAAACCAAAAACCTGAAGTCCTTTAAATACCGTAGGCCGTACTATTTTGCTTTAAAAAATGTACTTCAGATAGAAAACTGCTCCCGAGCTTTGTGCAATGTAGCACAGGTGGAATATTAAGTCGGCACAAGGCCTGGCTGATTCATCCACCGCTAAATTGCATGGTAAGTAGGGCTTTTTGGCAAGGCTTTCCCTCTGTATCAGTGGGATTTCTCTCACTGATGCCACTCTCCCAGGTGGCAGTGGGACAGAGCAAAGAGGAAGAATGCAAGGAGAGTTTCATAGGAGGAGCTGTTCCACCAGATCCCCTTTTTTTTAGGGGGGGGGTTGTAGCCACTGAAGACTACAAAAGCTCCAAGGGCACTAACCACGATCATTCCCTGAAAGCTGTTCTGTAACCCAGCAGAGAGGATCAGGCCGGAAGGGAATCCCAAATGCAATCTTTAAAGAAGTTTGGATTTTCCTTTCCCCCTCCATCATGTAAGTGAAAGCGAGAAATATATATATGTAGGTTTTGCAGGATGGATCCCTGAGCAGTCCAGATTCCTGAGCACATTTGCTCACAAATCTTTCCCTAAATAATGGCTTTCACAGCTACTTTCCCTTGGAGCAGGCACCCCCAACCTTCAGCCCTCCAGATGTTTTGGACTACAATTCCCATCATCCCTGACCACTGATCCTGTTAGCTAGGGATGATGGGAGTTGTAGGCCAAAACATCTGGAGGGCCACAGGTTGGGGATGCCTGCCTTGGAGGATCTTCAACAAATCAGGCACAATTAATTTAAGAGTCAAGCACTTTCCCCTCCATTTATTTTCAACGAGAAAGTCTAACACCCTCTTAGTGAAATCACTTTGAATGTGAAGTGCTTCATTTTGACTGGATCGTGAACATTACGTCAAAACTGGGCTTTCAGTGGGGTACGGCATCTCCAAAGGAGCGAGCTATAATTATTGGGCTTGGATGGACAAAGCCAGTGCCAAAACTTTACAATTCCTTATGGGTTCTGTGCACCTCCAGGGACCTCCATGTCCACTTCAGTGCTATGGAGATATCCCCAAGGGATATATGTTCAGACCTTCCTCTTCAGCAAAAATAATGGGGAAGGGCAGCATTGCAGAACATATGGCACTTCGACACAGCTCTGTAGAAGTCAAGGTTTGCAATCCAGAGCGGGAGCTGTTATGCTTGCAATGGACTAAGACTCTGAAGAGCGCCTTTAATGATTTAGGCCGTGTATTCGCCATACATTTAAAGCTCATGGCTTCCGCCAAAGATTCACATGAACTGTGGTTTAAGGGTTCTGGGAATGGTAGCTTTGTGAGGGGTAAATGGTGGTTCCCGGGATTCTTTGCGGGGGATCCATGTACTTTAAATGTACAGTGGGGCACACAGCCGAACACATGTGCTTATGAAGCCCACCCTAAGAATATTAGTTGTGCTCAAGTTCTGTGGAAATTAATGGCACTTGTGGGATGGTTTAGATGCATTTTGAGTCCTATTGATTTCAGCGGGCCTTAATTATAAGTAACTTTCTCTGAACTGGAACTATGTTCAGGAGGAGGCATAAATGGTTCTTCTTTGTAAGGGAATCCACAGGCTCTTCTAAATCTATGCTGATTTGCCCCAGGTACATTTATCTGGGTAAATAAAGCATAACGCCTAATATCACCATTATTTTCTGTCGCCCTGAATTTGCCCCTTAGCCCTTCCAACCTGGCCTTTCTCACCGAAGCTCGAAGGCTTTAATAAATATTTTTAAAATCTGCACCCCACAATTCCTTGAGCTTCTGTTATTGCTGGATTGAATATATGAAGTGTGCCTGTTTGCCCAGCAAAGGCAACGGGTCTTGCAGAGACTCCTTCCATTTTAAATAAATTCCTGAGCACCAACATTGGTTTGTTTTTGTTTAATAGCATTTCTGAAAAGTTCAGATTGCCATTTCAATGACCTACAGAAAAATCATTTGCACTTGAAAGGCTATCAACAATTAAAAAGTAAACTAAAAAGACAACAAACACCTTCCCACTCAGCCACTCCAGAGCCTAAAAACATTGATTTCCCCCAGTGTAACAAGTAGGCAAGCAAATATATATTTAGTTTACTTTTTTCAGCAAAAATTCAGTAGTGCAGAGAAAGAATGTGGCTAACTAGCTGGAGGTGGCGTGGATGAACGCCCACCCCCAACTTAGCTGGGAATTAGCAGTTTTAGTAACAGCCTTTGGACAAATCCTGCAACATCAGCAACAGCGTAAGAAAACTCTACCAGATCTAAGTAAAACGGTTCCCAAGAAGAAAACTCATGGCTCTGCATCAATGTCTAAACAGGTATAACAAAGTACCAATATATGATAAACATTTAACCCAGAGAAAAAGATCAGTCAGTTACACTTTGTGTAAAAAATATATATATGGAGAATTAATACACACAAGATGGGTTGAATTCCTTCCCCGCCCCACGTATTTCAAATTGTGCAGCGACACCCTCTCTGCCTTCTCTCAGTTGTCCCCAACTGCCATCCGCTCCCAAATTCCTCATTTTGCCAGGCTGGTTCCTGAGGAGGGAGACACTGATCTAAATGCGATGGCAATTGGCTGTTTTGGGATTCTTTCGCAGCACCGTGCTCTGAATCTAAGACAGCAGCCACGCCACCCCGCTTGTTTAATTAAGGAAACGTTGAGTTTATCCTGGGAATGGGGTAAGGTCTGGTAGGAAAGGCACCTCGATGTTGCTAAAAACAAAACAAAACCCATTGGCAGTTATTTGCCTGATAGCTTTGGCTCTTCCATATGCAAAAAAAGAAAAAGAAAAACCCCACCAATCCTCAAATCCAAGGCCAACACAAGACAGGCGGCTACATTGCATGATCTGAGAGATGCACACTAAGATCACTTTGCAATGCCACAGAAGGGCGCTCAGCCACAAGGCTCAGATTTCTCTCTAGTTTCATTATCCAGTCTACTACTTGGATTAGCCCTGCCTTGGATTAGCCCTGTATGGCTAGGTTAGTCCCGCCTCGGACAAAAACACAGCTCCAAGTTTTAGATATGTGACCTAAACTTAAGGGGAAAGGCTGTAATTTGCAACTTGGCAAGGACTAACCAACACGAAAGCTGCCGTTGGGTGTGTTAGAATTATGGACGTTTCATCGCTAGCTTTTTTTTTAATTGTTAAAAGGTCATAATCTGTGATTATTGTTTTTCCCCCCATGTTAGAAAATACAGAGGAAAAACTAGGGGTAGGGCAACAAGTGCATTTCATCAGATTTGTTTATTTCACTTATCTTTGGCAATAAAATAAAATAAACCTTTGCAATAAACGGAGCCAAAGTATTACATAGAGGCGCGAGCGAACACACCGCAGCTTCTTTTTCTTTTATTAGCATGAATAATGAGGAAGTTTCAGAACACATAAATTACACAGCGGTGGGGAATCATATAATATAAATTTTCTAAGGAACGTCTTATCGGAATAGAAGGGGGTTGGAAATACAGTAGATGCATACTTTTTTTTTTTAATGCAAATAAGGAAAGTGAGTAACTTCACAGAAAGGCCACTATTTGGTGACGTGGACAAGTTCAATAGTTAAGTAAAATCTTGTAAAAGTGTAATCAGTATTAGAAATTGTCTACTTGCAAAAATAGATTTAAAAACTGCAGCTGGTTTGTTTTTGTGTTTTTTTTGGACGGTATGGGCCAGGGAATGCTGCAAGGCTGCTTCAGGTCGCCTGGTCGAGAGCTCGGAGCAAATCGCTGCCTTGCAGGAGCGTCGAACTCCCGAGAACTGGGACGTTAACCTCACAGTCATATCGGGTCAGTTCCGGCAACAAATAGGGTTCCAAGGATGAGCCGAGCAGGCGACTTGTCACTCCTGAAACGAGAAGATTTAGATGTTGAGCGGCCTTCTTTTATTTATTTTGGTTCAGGCTTACAATTTCTGCCTGGTACAAGAAGAAAACACCATACATCCCCTTTGAGCCCTAAATGGCCTCGGTCCAGTATACCTGAAGGAGCGTCTCCACCTCCATTGTTCTGCCTGGACACTGAGGTCCAGCACTGAGGGCCTTCTGGTGGTTCCCTGGCTTAGTCATGCTGGCCACATGACCCGGAAGCTGTACGCCGGCTCCCTCGGCCAATAAAGCAGATGAGCGTCGCAACCCCAGAGTCGGCCACGACTGGACCTAACGGCCAGGGGTCCCTTTACCTTTACCCTTTATTGGGGGGCGGGCCAGGGTCTGATCAAGATAAGGGCCAGGCAAGTGTCATGAACCAAGTCTTAGGTGAGCTCCTGCCTGCAACCACCGGCCTCTTCCCCACCCACTCCCTGCCGCCCATTGGAAAACAGTCCCTCCAAGTTTGTGTTATGGTTTGCGACAGAACTCACCTGACATCCTATGACCTTGTGGCACACTGAAGTCCTGATAAGGGGGGCAGTAAAAGTGTGGGGAGAAGGCAGCTTTGGGGATGTTGGCAGAGTTTCTCAAAGAGGCCGGTGGATGCCGTGGCTGCAGTTGCTGCTGCCCCATATTCATAGGGGTTTGGCCTGGCCCTCTTTGCGGGTTGCAAAGGAACTCATCTGCAAATCAAAAGCAAAAAACGGGGCTTCAAAAAGGGTGTCCGCTTTTAGAAACACAATTCCGGAAACAAGATTTCCCCCCACGTTTGTCCAGGAGTCAAGAGAGCAGGCTGACACTGGCATGTGCATCTGCCTGCTTAGACTGTTTCGATATTGTGGAATATTGCACGTCAATATTAGTGTTGTGATTGTTGTAATCCAAATGGTACCTTAGGGCGTGTAATGAATTGTAAGAATGATGACGATGATTTATTTGTTAAAATGTTCTTACAGTGCTATTCCATAGAAGATTTCAGAGTGGCTTACAAAAAATACATACAACCATACCGTGAAAACATATAAAATAAGTAAAAAACAAAACAAAAACCCCATACATCAATTAACCATTGTGGACAGACGTGTTCTTAAAGCCTTTCCTCCTCCCAGGAGGGGAGGGGTTGTGAGCGGGAGACAATTCCGCGTCATGCAGGGGGCGCTCCGCCCCCTGCTTCAACTGCAGGGCTGGCGCCACGCCCCTCCCCGGTTGGGCACCCAATAGGGAAGCTCGGCGGGGGCGTGGCTTGCTGCTCAAACGCAGCCACGCCAGCCATTCCCACCATTGCACACACATTTACTTCGAGTCAGTGAAAACATATAAAATAAGTAAAAAACAAAACAAAAACCCCATACATCAATTAACCATTGTGGACAGACGTGTTCTTAACTGCCTGCATAAAGGTAAAGGTAAAGGTAAAGGGACCCCTGACCATTAGGTCCAGTCGTGGCCGACTCTGGGGTTGCGACACTCATCTTGCTTTATTGGCCGAGGGAGCCGGCGTACAGCTTCCAGGTCATGTGGCCAACATGAGTAAGCCGCTTCTGGCGAACCAGAGCAGCACATAGAAACGCCATTTACCTTCCCGCTGGAGCGGTACCTATTTATCTACTTGCACTTTGACGTGCTTTCGAACTGCTAGGTTGGCAGGAGCAGAGACCGAGCTACGGGAGCTCACCCCGTCGCGGGGATTCAAACCACCAACCTTCTGATCAGCAAGTCCTAGGCTCTGTGGTTTAATCCACAGCGCCACCCACATCCCCAGCTGCCTGCATAGCCTGGCGGAATATAAGAGTTTTCAGCAGCCATTTTCAAGTTAAAACAAAAGGCACCTGCTAACTCTAGTTCAGTACTGTTGACCCAGGGTTTCTGGCGGAGGGGGCGGCATTCTCAGCTCTACCTGGATATACTGGGAGGTGGAGCCCAGGACCTCCTGCATTCAAAGCAGGTGCTCTGAAGCTGGGCTGCAGCCCTTTCCCAAAGAACTGCTGTATAATCTCAGGAAGTTGTATCTATGGATGTATGATGGTGGCTCACATTCACTCATGCAAGGTGCCACTGGAGGCTGCAAGTCATGCTGTCCTTGTGAGCTCCCCAGAGGTCTGGCTCAGTGTGGATATAAATCAATGACTTTAAAAAAAAAATTTTTAAAAAAAGATCAGATTTTTAAAATTTAAATTGGATTTTTTTGGGGGGAATCCTTCTAAAGATAAGTAAAGGTAAAGGTACCCCTGCCCGTATGGGCCAGTCGTGTCCGACTCTAGGGTTGTGCGCTCATCTCACTTAAGAGGCCGGGAGCCAGCACCAGCGCAGCACACGGAAACGCCGTTTACCTTCCCGCTATAAAGCGGTACGTATTTATCTACTTGCACTTAGGGGTGCTTTCGAACTGCTAGGTGGGCAGGAGCTGGGACCGAAAGACTGGAGCTCACCCCGCTGCGGGGATTCGAACTGCCGACCATATGATCGGCAAGTCCTAGGCACTGAAGTTTTACCCACAGCGCCACCCGCCTCCCTTTCTAAAGATAGTTTTCTATTTAAGTTACATTATAGTCCAAAGGTTATTCATCAGGAAATAAGGATTTGTTTTAAGTTTTTCATGTGTCTAAGATTTTTTTTAAAAAAACAACCCGTTTAACCACATCAGTTAACAAACATTAGTACATATGCTATAATGCTACTGTTTTAGTTGAACAGATTGTTTAAATTGTTATTAAGGAAATGATTATTTTTCTCCTTCCAATAAAGTACATTTTGAAAGTTGTTCAAATATAAACAGTTAACTTATTAAACCTCACAATTATTTCATAATTATCTCTCTATGTATTTCTAATAGTATAACCAAATCAGTAAATTTTGATAGAACTGTAAAAACTACTCTGAAAATTTATTATTCCAAAAATGAAACCTTCCTCTGGTTGTAAATATTAGGTTTATACCAGCAAGAATGAGTCTTTCTGTAAAAAAGTGATTTAAATCAAGTCTTACTGACTAGTGATTTAAATCAGGTCTTACTGACTAGCGATTTAAATCGATTTGATTTAAATCAAATCCACGCTGATCTGGTCACCCTGGGAAAACAGAACACTGGCAAAGATGGACCATTTGCCCATCTGGTCCCACAATACTCTTCTTAAGGAGATTGAAGTTAGTGCAGAAAAACAGACAGTGAGCATAAGATGTGGCAAAACTGAAATGTAAAGGCAGGGACTTCATCTGCAGGGCAAGTTTTGTGTTCTGTCACCAGCTGCCCAACAGTGACATAGTGGACCCCATGTGACTCCATCTGGTTATATTGAATTACCTTTCATTTCTTTAAAAAAAGGGTCTTACCATTAAGGACACTTGTGCTCAGCGACTTCTTCTCTGTAAGTAATGCACAATTTTCACCTCTGAGGATTTTCATCCTTTTCCACATTAAGTGTGTTGGGTTAATGCCAGATGTTTCTCCTTGTATCTATAGATGGGGTGCAGAAAGAGAATGTATAAGCCTGACAAGAAAAGAATATTGTTTTAAAAAAACAAACTCATTTTTGTTTTGAGGCCATAGAAGGGAACTTAGGAAATTGTCTTACACCAAGTTGTTAGCATGCTGCCAGTGTTTTATATCCCTGTTGGGGAGCTATTTTTGTTATTGTTTATTTTTCCCAGTATGTTGTGTGGAACACTAATGTGTTATATGAAACACACACACACAAATGTAAGTTGCTTGGAGACCCTTTGGGTGACAAGCAACTAGCTCACACTGATTAAGCATCTCCAGGGAGCAATCCGGATTCCTGGAAATGTTGGGGACTGAACCCAGGACCTTCCCCATGCTAAGCAAATGCTCTTCCACTGAGCTATGGCCCTTTCTCAAAAACGGCAGTCTTTGCAAAGGACAGATTACCCCACTCAGGTGTTGAAAGGCTTGCTCTTCATAGTCCAGCTGCCTCTTCAGCTTCAAACTGTTGGCAAGAGCAATCCGCGCAGGGTTTATATCCATGCCCCGCTGCCCAAGGCACTCCAGCGACCTATCGAGACAAAGCCATGGTTGCATTTGAAAAACAAAACACTGGAGAAGGATCTTTCCTCAAGCCAAGCTTCAAAGCAGAACAGTGAGACTTGCTGACCTGCAGAGGCCTCTTGTTCCTAACTTAGGTTGGTGTTGGATTCTCAGGGAAAGATGTCCTCCTTGAGCAAGGATGTGGATGGTGGTTCTCCAGCTGCTGGTGGACTGCCAACATCACTGGCCACTGTCCCTGCTGACTCTGGAGCCACCCAACAACCTCTGGAGGACCACAAATGCCTGTCCCTGGGAGACAACTCAGTGACTGTAGAGAACAGCTGTAGCATACACAACCGACGAGTCCAATACCAACTCACATAGTTTATTCAAGCTGCAATATTCTTTCTGCTTCAATAGCAACCTGCACTCCCCATCAGGAAGAATGCTTTAGGCATGAGTGAAGGATGCGGATTGACCGTGGAGACTTATTTAATCGTTTTTGTGTATCACAGCTGTTTTCCGCAGACAGTATCTGTTGCCAAAGCACTGCTCGCCCTTTGTGCTGTGGTAGACAATTCACAATGCCTTGCTGCTAGCAGAGGCACGAGGTCAACAGAAGAAGTCTGTTTTTCCTTACGGCCTGTCACGTCAGGCTAAGGTGGCATGTGGCAGCGTGAGAATGGCATCATCCCACACCACTATGACAACATTTGGAAGGCTGAAACGTCGTAGATGAGGTCAATGGGCTGGTTATGGTTTGAAGAGACAAGGCCGCTTTGCTGAAGCTAAACGCGTCTGGCCCAGTCAGCAACTGGATGAGAGGCCACCTGGGAACCGCGTAGACCCCCCACCCCGAGTTAATTTATTTATGACATTTATATATTTTGATCCCTCCAATAGGATCATCTCCCTCCCTTCCTGGATGAACTGCTATTGGGCTTTGTGTAACTGGCCCCACCCACATTATTCTGTCCTATCAAATGTTGCTGCAGCAGAACTGGATTATGTCAGCAACTAAAAGGTAAAAGTAAAGGGACCCCTGACCATTAGGTCCAGTCGTGGCCGACTCTGGGGTTGCGGCGCTCATCTCGCTTTATTGGCCGAGGGAGCTGGCCTACAGCTTCCGGGTCATGTGGCCAGCATGACTAAGCCGCTTCTGGCAAACCAGAGCAGCGCACGGAAACGCCATTTACCTTCCCACCGGAGCGGTACCTATTTATCTACTTGCACTTTGACATGCTTTTGAACTGCTAGGTTGGCAGGAGCCGGGACCAAGCAACGGGAGCTCACCCTGTCGCGGGGATTCGAACTGCCGACCTTCTGATCAGCAAGTCCTAGGCTCTGTGGTTTAACCCACAGCGCCACCCGCGTCCCTCCATGTCAGCAGCTAAACTGTGGCAATTAACATGTGAAAGATCCCCAGCTGGCTGCATTTATTTTTTTTAAGTGGCCAATGCAAGTGTGTCCTTGCACACAGACCCTTAGGCCAAGGCTGGGACCTGTGGCCCTGCAGACCTGTGAAGGGACTAAAACTCCCATTAACCACTGGCTATGCTGTCTAAGGCTGATGGAAGCTGCAGTCCTGCAGCATTTGGGGAACCACCAGTTCCCCACCCATCTTAGCCCATGCCTACGGTTTATTATTATTATTATTTATTTAAATCAGCCATACTATAATCACATGGTTTTAAATTATGAGAACCTCTCCAAGAAGACACGCTGACCTCTTCCTGACCCTTTGAAAAGCAGATCTGCTGGCAACGTTTTGTTTTTGCTTTTTTCTTCCTGGGACAATTAACTTCCCCTTAAAGTTTCTACTTAAAAGTATATTGCTGTCGGCGTTCCTCCTTTTCATTTCCACCACTTTCGGCCTCTGGGCCGAAAACGGAAAGCCTAGTCACTGTTTCACCTTATTCTGAACGTGCTCGTCTATTAAAAGTCGTTAACGATTTAAGGCTCTGTTTAGGGAAACCCATTAGGGACACACTTTCAAAAGTTCCAAGTCCAAATGGAACCAAGTGAAGGTTGGTCAGGGCTTTCAGAAATGGCTGGACAGATGTCCTAGTGGCTTGTGTTTGGCTACTGGCTGGTGGAGGGAGGTTTCCCAAGACTGTTCCACCCCCCCTCCAAGTTTTAGATTTACCGTATTTTTCGCTCTATAAGACGCACTTTTCCCCCTCCAAAAATTAAGGGGAAATGTGTGTGCGTCCTATGGAGCGAATGCAGGCTCCTTGGCTTCAGCGATAGCAATGCAAAGCCTCCGAAGCACAGAGGGAGCGCTCCCTCCACACTCCGGAGGCTTCGTGTTGCTTTCACTGAAGCCTGGAGAGCGAGAGGGGTCAGTGCGCACCAACCCCTCTCACTCTCCAGGCTTCAGGTTTCTTTGGCTGAAGCTGGGAGAGCAAGACTCTCCTGGTTTCAGCAGAGAGGGAGAGCTGCGCAGCACCCCTTCAGCGAAGTGGGAGGAGAAATAGAAGGGGCTCCGTTTCTCCTGCCGCTTCGCTGAAGAGGCGCTGAGCAGAGAGGGGGAGATTTTTTCCCCCTTGTTCTCCCCCTCTAAAACAAGGTGTGTCCTATGGTCGAGTGCGTCCTATAGAGCAAAAAATGCGGTAATTCACACACTCTCTTGGGATTTTCTACGGGGAGCTGGTTTCTGGCAACAAAGGGCCCATTTCTCCACCTTCTCAACATAACGAATGAATGAGCTCAAACCAGCTACCTAAATCCACACACTCTTTCCTCCAAGTTACCTTTTCTTATATAAGTTCATATCAGGCAGGTGCAGCGGTGGCCCCGATGGAGAGCTAGCTATGGATCCCGAACACTTATTGACCGCCGCTCTCTGTTTCGTAGGGGCGTATTGTAAGGGTGGGTCAGGGGGCCACTGTGTGTTGGGTCTCCCACCCATTGAAGACAGAGGAGTGCTGGCTTGGGCATAGTAGGGCAGCAAAGAGGATGGCTGGCTCCCGCCGTTCAAGAAGGGTGGTGGTGGCAGAGTCCCCTGGCCCGTGTTGACGTTTTTGTTAGACATCGGCTGGCAGTATTTCTCCGGGAAGAACTGGTCCTGCGAGGGAGGAACAAGGGGCTGGAAGAGGTTGCTCATGTTGCTCAAGCTCTGCTGAGTGAGCTGGGCGCTTTCCGAGAGGGGTCGCTCCTCTTGACAGATCGGGCTGAGTTGGAAATCTTCTCCGTCCATCGGAATGTAAGGAGCCAAAGTTTCAAGGTCCAGTTCGTTGAAATCAGTCTGCACAGAGAGAAGGGACCAGGGAAGACACCGTGATTGCAACAATACGAAAGAAAAATTATCCTGGAAGAAACGTTTCTCCTCCTCTTTCCTAGAACAATCTCTAACACTGTTGTGCTGCCTTCCTCTAGGTGGGGCTACCTTTGAAGGTGACCCGGAAACCACAACTAATCCAGAATGCGGCAGCTAGACTGGTGACTGGGAGCGGCCGCCAAGACCATATAACACCGGTCCTACACTGGCTCCCAATACGTTTCCAAGCACAATTCAAAGTGTTGGCGCTGACCTTTAAAGCCCTAAATGGCCTCGGTCCAGTATACCTAAAGGAGTGTCTCCACCTCCATTGTTCAGCCCGGACACTGAGGTCCAGCGGCGAGGGCCTTCTGGTGGTTCCCTCGCTGCGAGAAGCCAAGTTACGGGGAACCAGGCAGAGGGCCTTCTCGGTAGTGGCACCTGCCCTGTGGAATGCCCTCCCACCAGATGTCAAAGAGAAAAATAACTACCAAACTTTTAGAAGACATCTAAAGGCAGCCCTGTTTAGGGAAGCTTTTAATGTTTAATAGGTTATTGTATTTAGTGTTTTGTTGGAAGCCACCCAGAGTGGCTGGGGAAACCCAGCCAGATGGGCGGGGTATAAATAATAAATTGTTATTATTATTATTCCTCAACTTGACGCTTTCCAGATGTTGGCTGAATTCAACTCCCATCACCTTCAGCCAGCATGTCAGGCATGCTGGGAGTTGTAGTACAAAACATCAGGAAGGAACCAGGCTGGAGAAGGCTACTCCCGCTGATGAGCAAGAAAGCAGGAAGCTGCCATATTACACAGAGTCAGACCATTGGTTTTCTAGCTCAGTAATGTCTACAAACTGATAAGAAGCAGTTGTCCAGGATTTCAGGCAGGAGTCTCATCTAGTCCTGCCTGGAAATGGTGGGGATTGAGGCTGCTCTGCTTCTGAGCTACAGTCTTTCCTCAAATGCAGGCATAGGCAAACTCCGGCCCTCCAGATGTTTGGGACTACAACTCCCACCATCTCTGACCACTGGTCCTTTTAGCTAGGGATGGTGGGAATTGTAGTCCCAAACATCTGGAGGGCCGGAGTTTGCCTATGCCTGCCCAAATGTGATGTAAGAAAAAATAAAAAGATAGCCTTAATTGAGGATTCTGAGCTTTCCCCCCCCCCCTGTTCAAAATGGTGCTGGTTTCCTTCACATCTTGCTTTCTCTATCAATACACAGCCCCTGCACTCTGTTCTCTTGCAGTGCTGGTGGCCCAAAGGAGTAAGCATTAGCTGCCAAAGAGATGTGTGCACTACACACTGATGACGATGTTACATTTTCCTGCTGGCTTCTCTTACCTGTGAGTTGCACTGATTCTTGGCATCCGTGTCCAAGGCAAAAAGTTTCTCAATCATCTCGATCTTCAGGTCTTCGTCTAAGGAAGTGTAATAGTCTCCGGGGCTGCTTGGCTGCAGAGTGAGAAAGACAGAGCAGACTATCAGAGGTCTGCAAATAACCACCTGCCTCGTCATCCAGGGAAGCTTTACCAAAAGCAAATCTTTGATTTCTCGTTGGCCACAAACGATTGCCATGTAGGCAGGTGGGGATGTAGATATTTTTTACAAGGCCTGCTTGTCAAAAAAGCAGCACCTGCCTGCTTGCACTAGGGGTGCATGGGTTCCCCTATATTCATTTGGAAAGGGATTGGGGGATTTCAGTGTGTGAAATATGGGCAAAGCCCTCACGCATACACATACAAAGCCCTTTGATCCAAGGCACCTGAAGGGAGTCTGAAGCTGTGTGCACCTCTCTCCCCTTCTGGACCTTCTCCTTGGTGGTACTCAGTGCACAGCATCACTTTCCTGATGGAGATGTTAAGAACCTACGAAGAGTCCAATGGCCCATCTCGTCCAGCCTCCTGTTCTCAGTGGCCAACCAGATGCCCGTGGGAAGCCCACGAGCAAGACCTGAGCACAAGAGCCCTCTCCACCAATGCAATGGCCACCAACCTCGATGGCTTTCAAAGTGAATTGGGGAAATATATGAAGGAGGAGGAGATCATTGACTACTAGCCAGGACGGTTATGCTCTGTCTCCATGGTTAAGAGGCAGTATATTTCTGAATACCAGTTGCTGGAAGCCACAGGAGGGGAGAGTGCTCTCGCACTCGGATCTGTGATGGCCTGGGACTCGGGCTCGGACTCGGAACCAGAGGAGTCTCAGTCTGCACCGGATCCTTTGCCTCAGGCATCATCTGAACCTACTCTGGGGCCTGATTCTGAAGAGCCCCAGTCTGCACAGGTTCCCCTGCAACAAGCACCAGCTGGGCCGAGTCAGGGGCCTGAACCTGCCCTGGCTCCAGATGTGGGGATTACCTCGTTGCCTTCAGCTGGGCCATCACTTACAGCTGCTCCACTACCGGTTGGGTCAGGAGAGGCTGAGGCGGCCCCTGGGTCTAGTAACCCACCGACGTCTCCCGAGCTGCAGAGACTGAGGTCTGAGAGAAGGAGAGACCTGAGTACTTGCAGGAGGAGTGCTCGCCTTCGGGCAAGACAGGGAGGTGAGTCACTGGGGGATCAGGACCGGCCGTTACCCCGACAAAGATAAAAGGCTGTCGGATCCTGCCCCAGGTTGTGGGAGCAACATTGCTGTTTGCCAGAACCTGCCTGAGATCCTGTGCCTGATCTTGCCTGTTTTTCTGCCTTGTGTCCTGCCTTGGCCCTGCCGGATTGACTCCTTGTGGAATCCTTGGATTCGGGACCGGACCTGGACCGCGTTACTCGGGTTACCCCCGGGCCCAACACAGGATCATGCTTTTGGGTTTGCCACTGGCATCTGGTTGGCCATTGTGAAACAGGATGCTGGACCGGTCGGATCCTGCCAAGTAAATCTCTACTGTCATCATCATTTGCTGTTGGTTTTGGCTACAGGAGAATAATGCAGCTACTCTTCTGGAAATAATCTCCCCTTTTTTAAAAACAGGGAAACAACAAAACTGGTATTGTAGCCGCTGTTGGTGCTCATGAAAGAACCACACATGCCCCTGAGGCACAACATGCATTCTGGCCGCAGCCCTGCGCGTGAAAACAACAAGGTCATCGCTCAGTGCAAAGGGCTTCCTTACAGTGGAACAGCTGCTGTTGCTGCTGGCGCTGGGAGTGCTGCTGCCAGGTGCAACCTGGGGCAGTGTAAAGGACGGCACACTCAGCTTCTCAGCCTGTGGAGCTGGAGCCTTCGCTTCCGGAGGCCACTGCTTGTTTGGGGTCATCACAGCTTTGTTGTAGGAAGAGATTTCCTCAAACTTTTGCGTCCCTGAAATTTAAAGATATGCAAGGTCAACTCATCTGCGCAGCCTACAGTCCCCAAGACATCGTTTTAGGGAAAAGAACAAGCTGCACGAGCCTGAAATCATCAGACGTGATGGTCCTCCTCACATCACGAAGGACAGTACAGCTAAGTCTTGGTTTAGTATAAATAGGTGTTAAGCCTGATCCGATCGTCATTAGTGTTTCTCTGAGGTCAACGCTATGCAAACAAAGGACTTTCTCATACTGGTGTCTATAATTCTTCATTGACGGTGGCTGCTCACATTACTCCCCTCCCCGTACCCACTGATGTGGGTTATTTCCTATATCTGATCTTCACACAGTGTTTTATCTAAATCAGGGACATCCAGCTCCCAATACACTGCAATCTACTCACAGTATAAAAAAACTGACAGTGATCTACCCATTGTTGTTGGATAGACCAAAGAGCTTTTTTGGGGAAGCTAAAATTGTTGAGCTTTTATTTAGGAAGGCAAAGTTTTGTGTGTGTGTGTGGTTTTTTTTGGTTTTTTTGGAGGGGGAGAAAATCGCTGAGGGGCTAGAGATCGACCAGGATCTACCAGGAACACCCTGCAATCTACCAGTAGGTCACAATCTACCTGTTGGACATGCCTGATCTAAATGAATTACACACATCATAGGTTTGTGAATTTCAGCTCTTCGGAAATTCAAAGGGTCTGCTTGCTGCAGAGGTGATTCTTTGTGCATGGCAGAAAAGGAAGTGGGTGCTTAATTTGAAAGATCACATGTAGTTAACTAGGGACACCTGTGCCCACACAATAGTATATTCATGCAGTCATATCCACAAATGACTTTGGCTTATAACATAGCCTCCAATCTGGAGTCTGGTTGTTTGTTTGTAGGTTTACCTTTGAAGAAACCGAATGGCAAAGATGCCAAGGCCAGATTCCTCATGGTTTGATTTTGATTTATTTTCATTAACTCCAGTTAGAACAAACCACAGTTCCTCACGCTCGTTTGCAACATGGAACTGCAGTTTGATATAAAATGAAAACACAAAGTCCAAGGCTCCCAACAGCTTGTTTGTTGGATTCCAACAACATTTGCAGGGTACCAAGTTGGGGAATGCTAATATTGACCACAATCTAAATCCATTTTCTTAGGCTACAAAACTACAGCCAAGTGTGCTTCTTTGTATTAGTTAAATAAGTACCATATAGAGCTGACCTGAGCATCTAAAATATTTGCTTACTGTAACGATTTATGAGAGATGTATCAATCTACCAATAACCTACTGGTTAATTATTGTGCAAAACAGAAGAAAAGGTGGTTTACCTCCCCAGAACATTACTAACCAAAGTCAAGAGAAATAATAGCATCGCCAGGTGTTGGAGCCAGCTGTGCAAGTTCTTCAGGTTCTTCTTTCAGCTTGGTGAACAAGAAACCACTCTTTTCTGCCACGGGGACTCCGTTATCAAACATAGGATTCATTGCCATCATGTGCGGCTTAAAGAGCGATTCTGTCTGATCCATGGAGAACACGATATCATTGTTCTCTATTTCACTAACAAGAACAAAATCAGGTGGTTTAGAATAGTTTGTACTCCGATGAAGAATGTCCACAAGCAAAGAGTTCAATTAATTAAAGCGAAAATTCAATTTTACCAAGCAGGCACCTGGATTTAGATGCCTAACCTCTGACAACACACTTGCTCTGACTGCCACGTAGTTGGCTGTGTGCCTACCTATCGGTGGAAATGGACAGTTTTAGGGGCGAAAAGAACAACCAGATTCCCACAGGGATGATACCAACAGGACCATAATGCACATTGTGAGTTGAGAGGGGCCTCCTTTTTCTTGGGCAAGCAAAGTTGGGTCTGAGGTCAGGAACTAGCAGCTGAACATCCTGTGTGAGGTCTGACCTATGTTAAACAGCTCAGGACTGCATTACCTCAAGGACCGCCTCTCTCCTTATGAACCAACCTGGACCCTGCTATCTTCTTCTGAGAACCTTCTTCGTGCGCCTCCTCCATGAGAGGAGGTCTGGAGAGTGGCAACACAAGACAGGGCTTTATCTGCAGTGGGTCCCTGTTTGTAGAATGCTCTCCCTAGGAAGGCCTGCCACCTTCATTATACACCTTTAGGCACCAGGCAAAAGCATTCCTCTTCAATCAGCCCTTTGGTTGATTAATCGTCTATGGCCTTTTAAATGTGTTTGTGGGAGGCAGGGGGTTATTGGTTTGTTTTTCTTCCTATTTTCACTTTGCGTTTTGGGTTTTTGATATTGTAATTTTATGTTGTGAACTGCCCTGAGATCTACAAATAAAGGGTGGTATATAAATAAAATAATAATAATAATAATAATAATAATCTTAGAACGGGGACACGGGTGGCGCTGTGGGTTAAACCACTGAGCCTAGGGCTTGCCGATCAGAAGGTCGGCGGTTTGAATCCCCGCCACGGGGTGAGCTCCCGTTGCTTGGTCCCTGCTCCTGCCAACCTAGCAGTTTGAAAGCACGTCAAAGTGCAAGTAGATAAATAGGTACCGCTCCAGCGGGAAGGTAAACGGCGTTGCCGTGCGCTGCTCTGGTTCGCCAGTAGCAGTTTAGTCATGCTGGCCACATGACCCAGAAGCTGTACGCCAGCTCCCTCGGCCAATAAAGCGAGATGAGTGCCGCAACCCCAGAGTTGGTCACGACTGGACCTAATGGTCAGGGGTCCCTTTACCTTTACTAATCTTAGAACAAGGATGGGGAACTTCCAGGTGTTGCTGGATGCCAACTACCGTGGTAAAAAGGTCAAGGACCCTTGAACAGTTAAGTCCAGTCAAAGGCGACTATGGGGTTGCGGCGCTCATCTCGCTTTCAGGCCGAGGGAGCTGGCATTTGTCCACAGACAGCTTTCCAGATCATGTTGCGCTTCTGGTGCAACGGGACACCGTGACAGAAACCAGAGCGCACGGAAATGGGGTTTACCTTTCCACAGCAGCAGGACTTATTCATCTACTTGCACAGGCATGCTTTCGAACTGCTAGGTTGGCAGGAGCTGGGACAAACCAACGGGAGCTCACCCCATTGCAGGGATTTGAACCGCTGATCTTGGGCAAACCCAAGAGGCTCAGTGGTTTAGAAAACAGCGCCACCCACATCCCTAATAATAATAATACTCTTAGAACAAGGATGGGGACCTTCCAGGTGTTGCTGGATGCCAACTCCCATGAGCCCCAGCTAGACCAAGAGCTGGGGACGAGGGGAGTTGTAACCAGCACATCTGGAGGGCCTGTGGTTCCACAACCCTGTTTTAGGATTCCGGCGGACTTACCTGAGAACGTAGTTGACACAGATGATGCACTGAGGTTGCAGGTTACGTGTATTGTAGATGACTGTTCCTTGGGTCTCTAGCCACACGTACCCACCATGCTTGGCAAGCATGCGGTACTGCCCAGTGACCACTTGACCTTTTGCACACACTTTGGGGGGGGGGAGAAGGGAGGAAACAAATAGGAGTGACCAAGTCAAAATATTGCCAGGTGCAGCATGCATTAACATGACTTTATAAATAGCCCCTTTCACAGAAAAACTCCCAGCCCTCTCACTTAGAACTACAAAAATACATGCTCCAATAGGTCTTAGAGAGTATCTCGTGTTTTGCTCTTGCTGCAACAGCCCAAGATAGCTGTCCCAATACCATTTCATACACTTTTTCAAATCTAAGTAGGGCTTTCTGCATCCTGTGATTTTGTGAGCGTGCCACAAAAATACACCCAGGAATATTGTGTGCAGGTGTGGGATTCCTGATAACCTGTGATTTCTTTGGGTGTTTTTTTGTTTTGTTTTTAAATTAAAAGCAAGTTTTTCGCCCATATGGCTGACAAGCGCTACTTAGAACATGCCTGCTGAACCAGTGAGGGGTTGATTCTCAGAATGAGGATGGTGTTCCAGTGGCCTATAGCTCTTACTGTCAGAAAGTTTCTCCTGATGTTTTAAGTCAGAATCTCTTTTCTTGTAACTTGGAAGTCATGAACTCTTTTCAAGGAAAAATCCACACTCCTTGCTCCATCCACTTTGGCCTCTGGTTCTGGCCCCAGTCAGCATGTGACCCTTTCCCAGAACAGAATATGGCCCCTGAATTGAAAATGGATTCCCACCCCCGGTTTAGACCGTAGGAGCTGCTAACTTTGGCTGCTCCTATTACCCTTTCCTGTGTGGCTGCTCACACCAACGCTTTCAAAGTGCTGTGAAGTCACTGGAGGTGACGTCCGAGACGCACACTTTGCTTGCCTTAACTGCTGCATTAAGGACGTTCAAAGGGGACAATGCACAGCCAGAACGTCTGGAGAGCTGATGGGGGTTAGGAAAAAAGACATAATCTCCACCCACCCACCACGGGCTGCCATCTGCCACTGCAACTGATTTATATCATTCTAATTGCCTTAACTATACATTGCTTTAATTGCCGTTCGCTGTAAACCGCCTTGGGAGCTGTTAGGGTTGAAAAAGCCGGGTCTGTGGGAAAAAAGCCCTTGATGCTTTGTAGGAAGATTAAATGTCTGTGCTATCTAAATTGCAATGACTCCCTCCCAGCTCCCAGTGTCTCTACGAAGCATCATTTGGGCTGCAAAGGGGTTGTTTGACTTGAAACACCCAGCCCCAGCTTGCATTTAGACTGCCTTGTAAAGCAGGGTTGCCGTATTTCAAAAAGTGAAAATGCGGACACAGTTTTTGAGCTATTTTTTTAGGAGACTTGCCAAAAGAAATCAACATTTCCAACATGGATTGCCACACCCCCAGATTTTCCTGCACATTTTAACCAATTTTCGGAAATTCCACCCAAGCGCTGTTTCCGACGGGCGAATGCCGGATATGTCTGGGAAATTTCGGACGTACGGCAGCCCTATTATAAGAATCTTGAACATGGAATCTTTGGCTTCTGGTACCATCGTAGGAAATGGTGGGTTAGGATTCTGGTTGAGGGCTACTCCACATCAGAGCAAAATGTGGCCTGTCTCCCCATTAACACAGAGACATCCACATGACATTCTCACCATCCCAGTGTTCTCCAGACCTTCTCCCCTTCAAATGCTGGGTTTTTTGATCCTCCGAATGTGCAAAACAGAAAGCATTTTTAAAACCCTGCATTTAAAGGGGGGAAAGCTCCACATTTTTCTCCGGTGTGGACAAGCCCTGGGAGACAGTGACAGAACCAAATGGGCTGCCTATGATGCAGAAACAACCATTTTTGGTATACAGTATGAGTCATCTGCCAGGGACGCGGGTGGCGCTGTGGGTAAAAGCCTCAGCGCCTAGGGCTTGCCGATCGAAAGGTCGGCGGTTCGAATCCCCGCGGCAGGGTGCGCTCCCGTTGCTCGGTCCCAGCGCCTGCCAACCTAGCAGTTCGAAAGCACCTCCGAGTGCAAGTAGATAAATAGGGACCGCTTACTAGCGGGAAGGTAAATGGCGTTTCCGTGTGCGGCTCTGGCTTGCCAGAGCAGCGATGTCACGCTGGCCACGTGACCCGGAAGTGTCTTCGGACAGCGCTGGCCCCCGGCCTCTTGAGTGAGATGGGCGCACAACCCTAGAGTCTGTCAAGACTGGCCTGTACGGGCAGGGGTACCTTTACCTTTTACCTTTTATGAGTCATCTACAAAGTGCTTCTATGATGTATTTTACTTCACCTCCCTCTTCCTTGTCAGCAAAGGTTTTGGATTAAAAATCACCCTGCCCTTAATTTACTTTAGAATACTACCTTTTGATTACCAGATTACTTGTGTGGCATGCGTGTGTGAGGAATATCAAAAGGTTTTGTCTGAAGATTGTTTTAGAAAATTATGTTCTGCAGTGTCTGCGAAACATTATTATATACGGGCCTCCTAATAATCAACTTGCAACGAAGAGTCCTAATGAGAGTTGCCTGTTACATTATCAAAAAAGCTTGTTACTGCTTTCATCATTAAAAAATAAAAATAAAATCGCATTATGTTCTGTTACAACAAAGAGTAGCTTGTGCTCTTCATTTAACGTCACACTGTGTGTGTGTGTGTGTGTGTTTCCAGCAGCTATTTGAATCAGCTGTATTATTCTTAGACTTATCAGTCGCTTGTTACCTAAAAGATCTCTAAGCAACTAATAATAATCATAATCATAATAATAATCATCATAATATATTTATGCCCCACCCATCTAGCTGGGTTTCCCCAGCCACTCTGGGTGGCTTCCAGCAAAAGATTAAAAAATCAAATACTAAAAGCTTCCCTAAAGAGGGCTGCCTTCAGATGTCTTCTAAAAGTCAGATAGTTGTTTATTTCTTTGACATCTGGTGGGAGGGCGTTCCACAGGGCGGGTGCCACTACCGAGAAGGCCCTCTGCCTGTACTTACATTTGTACTGTGGTATACATTATGCCACGGGGGTGGGGGGGAGAACATTTTCATATAGGATGTTAACGTTTTCATGCAACATACACACCCAGTAACAACCCTAGGAAGCTTTCACAAAACTGTAGATTTAGAAGGAACACCCAAGCCCCCCCTCCGGCTCATCTATTCCAACCCCCCACAATGCAGGAATTTCAGCTAAAGCATCCATGGCAAATGGCCACCCAACCTCTGCTTAAAAACTCCAAGCCAGGAGAGCCCACAGCCTCCCGAGGGAGACCGTTCCACTGTCAAATGGCTCTTACTGTCAAAAAGTTCTTCCTGATGTTTAGTCAGAAGCTCCTTTCTTGTAACTTGAAGCCATTGGTTTGAGTTCTACCCTCCAGAGCAGGAGAAAACAAGCTTGCTCCATCTTCCATGTGGCAGCCCTTTAGATATTTGAAGATGGCTATCGTATCTCCTCTCAATCTCCTCTTTTCCAGGCTAAACACACCCAACTCCCTCAACTGTTCCTCAAAAGGCTTGGTTTCCAGACCCTTGATATCTTTGGTCACCTTCCTCTGCACACCTTCCAGCTTGTCCATATCCTTCTTAAATTGTGGTGCCCAGAACTGGACACAGTTGTGATCTCACCAAGGCAGAATGTTGTTGTTTAGTCGTTTAGTCATGTCCGACTCTTTGTGACCCCATGGACCAGAGCACGCCAGACACTCCTGTCTTCCACTGCCTCCTGCAGTTTGGTCAAACTCATGCTGGAAGCTTCGAGAACACTGTCCAACCATCTCGTCCTCCATCATCCCCTTCTCCTTGTGCCCTCCATCTTTCCCAACATCAGGGTCTTTTCCGGGGAGTCTTCTCTTCTCATGAGGTGGCCAAAGTACTGGAGCCTCAGCTTCAGGATCTGTCCTTCCCGTGAGCACTCAGGGCTGATTTCCTTCAGAGTGGAGAGGTTTGATCTTCTTGCAGTCCATGGGACTCTCCAGAGTCTCCTCCAACACCATAATTCAAAAGCATCCATTCTTCGGCGATCAGCCTTCTTTATGGTCCAGCTCTCACTTCCATACATCACTACTGGGAAAACACACTACTGGGTCACACGCTAGTAGGGGCCCATTGCCAATCCCTGGAGCCTCTTGCCCCAACTCTTCCTCCTTGCCTCTTCACCTGTCCTCTCTGGCCAAGAAAGCTGAGTAGCAAGGAAAAGGAACAGAGACTTCCACATGCCTGAAAGTAAGTCCCCACATTTAATTATTATTTGGAGGCTTTATTTGTCAATGGATTCCCTTCCTTTCCCCTTCACTTATAGAAAAAGCAATCTTTTATTGTTGCAGGACCTGAACTTTGGAACTCCCTGCTTATTGACATCAGGCACACAACTTCACTGTGTCCTTTTCAGTCCCTGTTTAAAGCAGTTTTGTTTAGGCAAGTCCATCCAGGCTTTTTAGCTACTGTTGATCTCCACCATGCTTTGAATATTTTAAAGTTTTTAAATGCTTTATTTAAATTGCTTCAATGTTATTATTATTTTTAGGAACAAAGCAGCATATATGTTTTGTTAAATGCACAAAATAAATAAAAGATACTGCTATTTTGAACAGTTTAAAGACCACAAAGAAGTCTTTTGGTTAAACAGTTTCCTAAAGAATTTCAACTGCCTCTCCATTGAGATGAATGGCAAGATTCAGTGGGAACAGGAACAGATCCAAATCATTCTAAAATATTAATGATGGAATATAATTAATCTCTTGGTATAGTTCTACAGCGCATCGTCAGGGCACATTATGCAATAAGACAAAGACTTTGATTCCTTTCCCTCTCTCTCTCTTCCCTGCTCCATAGGTTGCAGGGAGTGAGCTATGCCAAATCTGCCAAATTAAACCCTATTATCGCCTCTGATGACTACCAATTAAGTCTCTTGGAGTGTATAGAATTTTTTTATATTTGAAGCCAAGAACGCAAACAATGCTGTAGCTTATTTCAGAACAATGCCATTACCCAATCGCAAGACAATAATACAGAACTTGAAGCAAGCTCTAACTTGGCAGAGGGTTGTGTAGTTTATGGGCAATGTAGATATTTTCATTAATTTGTACACTC